TCCCTCAGCCAGTGCAGTGCCCTGATGTCTTCATTTTGAGGTTTTCCTTATCTCTCGGCAATGGAGCTGGATGCATGTTTCTCCTTTTAATGTCTGTATTCCTCAGTCCTTCCTGCTGTCTCCACCTTCTGAATTACTGTGTTTCCAAATGTCTGAGAGCCTTGTATACCTTGAGGTCTGTCCAGCAGCTCTGCAGCTGCCCGAGTAATCCTTCCCTATTTAAGCCTGACTACTGTGTGTTATTTTGTACTTGGCCAGTGCTGCCCCTGTTTCATAGGCTCGTTAACAGTCTCAGCTCTGAGGTTCGTTAGTCTGTGTGCCACTTCCTCCACTGCTCTCAGCTGGAGAGGATTCAGCCTTCTGGTTTAGCACACCCAGTGCCTCATGCCCTGCTCAGGGTGTACGTGTCTTCACGGCGCTTCGGAGCGAGCAAGAGGACAGCCCTCGCTGCTTTCCACTTGCCGGCTGTCTCCCACCTCAGCTTCCCCAGCGAGTCAGTGTGTCACCGGAGCCTCACAAAAGGGTCATCCTGAAGCGGAGACCATCTCACTGTGCCCCTTGCAGGACTGGTCACTTGGATCTTAGCACAGATTTAAGCATAGAGGGTTTCAAGGTGGAAGGAGAACTGCTCAGTGGATCAGTGATATTGCCCCCTGCATAGTCTTGGGGTGAATTTGCATGTGGTGCTTTTCTGTGGTCCCAGTGTGGAGTCTTGTCACTCTGTGGTGATGCCCAGAGCTTGCTGCACCTTATGGGAGTTAATCTGATGCCCGATGCTTGCTTTAAGGTTTTGGTTTAATCCCTAGCTCTGGGATCTTGCCCACTCAGTGCTAACCAGCACCTGGTTTATGTGCCTGCTGCTGGTATAACCAAGACTTCAAGGCTTGGAGATAAAAAGGAACAGAAATAAGGGTGGTTGACCTGTGTATTTACAGTCTGTCTCCCCAAACTGATGCCAATATTTAAAACTGATAATGCTGTACAAATAAATGACCTCAGAGCAAAACGCAGCCGATGTGAAAATTGCTCTGGTCCCCGTTGGAAGCTCAGGGGCAGCAGCGTGGCGCTGGCTGGGACTCTGCTGGGAGCTCCTGCCCTCGGATAACATCCTGCACGGTGGTCAGGCTTTCCACTGAGTTGACTAATTGTAGCTGAACTGACCTGCAGGGTTAGGTGCTGGGGAAGGCTGGGTGGTGGGCAGCACCATGGCTCTGCAGTATGCGCGGTTTCTCTGGTGCTGCTCTGAAAGCAGGACAGCTGTGACATGCTCACTTCCTTGAGTGCTGTCCTGTGGCTTCTCCCCTGGGTGGTGGGCTCACATACAGGACTCCTCTGCCCACAGTTGGGCGGCTCTGGCTATATTCTACCACTAAGGTCACTTCAGGCCCTGAGCTGACGCTGTAGCTGAGCATGCGCGTGTCCCTGTGTAACTGTGGTCACCCCGGACTCCTCTGCTTGTCCCTAGGTCTTTGGCACCAATGTGATGGTGACAGTTGCCAAATCGTTCGAAGCCCCGATAAAATGTGAGTAGATCTTCCCTGTGTGCTAGAGGAGGGGATGTCTGTTCTGCGGCGGTCGCTGCCCTGTGCACCCTCCACCCTCTGGAGGTGGCTCAGGAGGTGGGATGGGTGCAGGAAGGTTTCCTGCTAGTGAGCCCTTAGACTGCTGCATAGTGCCACCAACCTGCAGGTCAGGTCTCTGGAGAGGGATAGTTTGCAGAGCCTTGAGCTGGCTGGGTTAGTCTGCACCCCCAGAGCCAACAATTTCACCTGCTCATAAAAAAGTAACCCAAAAAATCAAAACCTCCAACCCTCCCTCCCCCCCTCCCCCCAAAAAAAAACCCAAACAAAAAAAAACCACCCAAAAAAAAACAGGAGAGGTAAATTTCTGCTGTTGTGGAGTATGCAGTGGTTTGGGTCCTGGGAGCTGGGCTTGGAACTTGTGCATGGGGCTGGCCCCAAACCCCTTGGTTTCCCGTCCCAAAGTTGTCCCAGGAAGGAGAAGGGGAGAGCTGCAGGAGAAGAGGGGGCCGAGGGCAGGGACAGGGGTCTTGCCCTACTCTGATCCCTTTTTGCCAGGCACAGCAGTGCTGAGGTCTGCTCAGCCCAGACATTCCCCTCACTGTGCCTCTCTACTCCTCGTAGTGGTTTTCCCTCAGGACCTGCTGGAGAAGGGGCTGGAGGCTGACAACTTTGCCATGCTGGGTCTGGGAGACATTGTCATTCCAGGTAAGGACAGAAGAAGGGGAATGTGACCAGGATCGCCTGTCCGAATGGGCTGCGGGGAGCTAAGCGGGTGCCTCACTCTGCCTTTGGCTGTGCCGGAGCACCGTGGGCTTCCTGCCGGGGCTGGGGACTGTGTGGGCTGGGGATCTCCCGCCGGGTCCGGGTGCTGTCCCGGTGCCTTGTGCCGCGAGAGGGCACTGTCAGCCCAGACACGGCACCGGGAGCCGCTGAGGGTCCTGCCATGCCTCTCTCAGCCTTCCTTAGACCTCCGTCTCCTCACTGTCCCCTTCTCCCCGCAGGGATCTTCATTGCCTTGCTGCTGCGGTTTGACATCAGGTGAGTGGGCGGCAGGGAAGGGTCTCTGGCAGGTTGGATCTTGCAGCATATTTGAGCTGCTTTTGTAGAGGAAAAGGGGAAGAGGAAGCCAGGAGCGCAGGCAGTCGTGCGCTCCCCTCTGAGGCTTGGCGGGGGGACCCAGGACGGGTGTGTGGTGCAAGGGGAAGCTCTCGGAAGAGTAGACGTGAGCAGGGCTGGCTTTGTGGGTAAGTCCCGAGCGCTGGGGGCGAGTTGTTTGAGCTCACGAGTGTTGCTGTACGCACAGTAGGGCAGGCAGGACGTAAGAGCCCCACAGAGCCTCACTGACTCCCTCAAAGTGAGGAGGAGAGGACAGCGCTGCTATGCTATGGCAGTGAGGGGAACAGTGACAGCGTGGGAAACAGCCGTGGGTGCTGGCACCTGGGAAATGCTCATGTGGATGCAAATCATTGCCTGGCAATGCTGGCAGCCTCTGGGTTGTCACTGACGTTTGGGGAAGCAGCTCCTTCTTATGCAGGGAAGCTGCACCTACTGCCAGGATGTTGCTTTCAGCAGTTGCCCCACACTAAAAGTCTCTGGCTGGGGAGCTGCTGGGAATAGGCCACTTCATGTGACTGCGGTGGTGCGGCTCCGTTCCCACTGCTGTTGAACAGACCCTCTGGTCTGTGCCAGCTCTCCCAGGTGTTTCCACCCACATCCTGCCTGCACCTGCTGGGAATCCCAGTTCCCGCAGTCTGTCCTGTGATAAAACAGCACATGCTGAGAGTGGGGTGCCAGGGACTGGCCATGCCTCCCCCGAGAAGGTGGAACCCTCTCCCTAGGTCCCAGTACCGATTCCTCGCCCCCAGTAGCCATCCAGCAGCAAGGTCGTGCTCCTCCTTCCTCTCCCCAGCCCCTCACCTGAGTGTTGCCCTATGCAGTCCTGCACTGCTCCCACGGGACCAGGGGCTGTGCTGGTGGCAGTCTCTGTGCTGGCACAAGAGTGGGGACAGAGCACAGCTCCCCACGCCCCAGCGCAGTGGGATTTGGCTGAGAACACTGAGTCAGCTCTGTTTTGGCCACTGGCATCCCAGACCTGAGGTCACTGAGCTCTGCTCCCTTTCCCCACAGCTTGAAGAAGAACACGCACACGTATTTCTACACCAGCTTTGTGGCCTACATCTTCGGGCTGGGCCTGACCATATTCATCATGCACATCTTCAAGCACGCCCAGGTGAGTTCTGCCGTGCTGCTTCCCGTAGATGCACATCCCAAGCAGAACACGCCAGCTTGGCCACGGGGTTCCTGCATCATGCCAGGAAAAAGTAGATGCATTCCTTCTCTTGGCTTTACTTTTCCAGTGCCTGCCTCTACCTTTCCCTGCCCAAAGCTTGTGTGCCTGGCTGGAGCTGAGTCCTGCTTTGGGGCAAGACTGGCTCAGGCAACTGCGTTTCCAACAACAGCACCTCAGCTGGGCTGCCCTTTTTTTTTTGTGGCTCTTGGCAGCCAAGCTCCCCCTAAAGACCCTTGGGAGCACACATGCCATGGGTGCTGTCCCTGGTCTGCATGGGGGCCCTCGGTGTGTTTGTGGCCCGCTGGGACCTCACGGCGAGGGTTTTATGCTGCTGCAGTTGTAACGCGGCTCTCAAAGCCACTTTCTGGGGTATTACAGAATCACAGAATTGTCAGGGTTGGAAGGGACCTCTGGAGATCATCTAGTCCAACTCCCTGCCAGAGCAGGGTCACCTACAACAGGTTGCATTAGGATGGCATCCAGGCGGGTTTTGAATTTCTCCATGGTGGGAGCCTCCACAACCTCTGGGCAGCCTGTGCCAGTGCTCTGCCACCCTCAAAGTAAAGAAGTTCCTCCTCATGTTAAGGTGGAACTTCCTATGTTCAAGTTTGTGCCTGTTAACTCTTGTTCTACCACTGGGCACCACTGAAAAAAGACTGTTCCCATCTACCTGGCACCCTCCCTTTAAGTATTTGTAAGTATTGATAAGATTCCCCCTCAGTCTTCTTTTCTCTAGACTAAAAAGACCTAAGTCTTTCCTCGTAAGAAAGATGCTCCAGTCCCCTCATCATCTTTACCATTCGCTGGACCCTCTCCAGCAGTTCCCTGTCCTTCTTGAACTGGGGAGCCCAGAATATTAACCCTTTGTGCAACACTGTGGCAGATGCCATGGGTGCAGAGGGGACAGAGCCAGCTCGCTTCATACTCCTTCCGAGGAGTGATTTGTGGTTTGGTTTAACAGTTGTTTTTCTTCCTGACAGCCTGCTCTTCTGTACCTGGTCCCCGCATGCATCGGATTCCCACTTCTTGTGGCCTTGGCAAAGGGAGAAGTAACTGAAATGTTCAGGTGAGCGTCAGCTGGGGACGGAGCTGTTTTGCCTGTGGCGCTGGAGCGCACCAAGTGTGCAGATGTTCCCACGCCTGGGCACAGCTGGAGGGATGGGTTCATCTGGGCACGCTCTGGGTGTGCGCGTGCACGTGCATGGGTGGAGGGAGTGGGTCTGTGTTTGTACACGCCGGCCCTGGCTCCAGCCACCTCCTCGTAGCCGGGTGGGAGCTTTGGTGCGGTACCAACAGGCAGGCAGCATCTGGTATTGCTTTACGCCCCGGTGACAAACTCTTCCCGTGCGCTGGCAGGCAGGGGAGGGTGGGACCGCACACCTGGTGTCGAGATACTTGGTCATTGTGTCCCAGGGCCCGTGGGTGGGGGAGAACAGCACCGGATCCAGCTGCGAGAGCAGCCAGGGCTGGTTCGAGCACATCCCAGCCTCCTCGCTTGGGTGAAGTATCCTGGTTTGCAGCAGTCTCCCTGCCCTGGGGACCAGGTGCAGAGAAAAGGGGTCTCTGCTGTTGTGCTCCAGCCCTTCTCTCAGCTTGCCTTGCTCCAGGCATTTGCTTTGGTCTCCTGCCTGGACTGTCCTCTCTGAGCCACACAGAGCATGGCCTGGCCTGCCTGGGAGCTGTTTGTCCGCTGTGCTCAGCCAGTTATGCTCAAGGGTCAGTGGTGGCCCACTGCAGTTGCTTGTTTGAGGACAGCTGAAGCAGAGGAGGGAAGGGAACATCTGTCCCAAAGCAGGGCTGTGCACCCGCCGGCCTCCCCGCTCCAGGGGTGTCCCTGCCCACGGGGGTCTCCCTGAGCCCCCAGAATGCTCAGAGGGAAACCAGCACTCGACTGGGGCGCAGCGGGGAGCCGGCTGCCCTCGCTTCCTTCCCCTCCCCTGGGAGATGCAGGTATGCGTGTTCCCACCGGGCTGTCAGCTGGGCCGGCTCCCCAGCCCTGCCGCACCTGCCCGTCCTTTGATGTTTGCTTCTGACGATCGCTGCTGCAGGCGTTGAGTGTCCTGGGATCGTCCTTCCTGTGCACCTGGGATCCTGCAGCCGCTCTCCCCAGTGCTGTGACTCACCAGCTGACAGCAGCACCACCTCCCACGCCAGGAAACTCGGGAGAGACGAGCTGCGAGTCCAGCCCGCCTGGCAGCAAGGCACTCGGGGAGCCTGGCAGCCAGGCACTGCGGGCTAGTGCCCCCACGGAGCATTAGCACAAGCTGCTGCAGCAGCAAAGTGCTGCCTGTTGTTGTTTGCTGGGTGCTGCCAGAACAAATGCAGGAGGCTGGGGGCGGTTGGAACCTCGATGGGTCCTGGTGTCCAGCCCCCCCCTGAAGTCCTTCCAGTTTCAGGCACAGGAAGTGGGATGCAACTTGCTATGGGACTCATGCCTGGAGGGCAGTGGCTCCCACCGCAGGAATCCCACCAGGTGTAGCTCCCCCTTTGCGGTTTTCATAGAAATAGAATCATAGAATCGCTGAGGTTGGAAGGGACCTTTAAGATCATCAAGTCCAACCATTAACCTAACCTGACAAAACCACTTCTAAACCATGTCCCTAAGTACCACATCTACCCTTTTTTTAAACACCTCCAGGGATGGTGAATCCATCACCTCCCTGGACAGCCTGTTCCAATGTTTAATAACCCTTTCCATGAAAAATTTTTTCCTAATATCTAATCTAAATTTTGGTGCACCCTGATCCTCCCCACGCTGACTGCAGCCTGGAGCCTGCAGTTCCCCTGTGGTCTCTGTGCGCAGTGAGCTGGCTGCGCATGGTGTCTCGCTGCAGCCGTCAGCTGCCCTGGCAGAGGGTAGCGAGGGTCTGATGCAGTGGCGAGTACTGGCAGCGCTGCAGGGAAGGTGGGAATGAGCAGATCTGTGCTGCAGGGCTGGGAAAGGGACGCTGATGGAGCAGAGGTGGGCGACATCGGGATCAGCTCCACAGCCCCCAGTCTCTGTGAGCTTTCCTAGGCAGGCAGTAACCTTTGCTCTGCCTCCATCAGCTGTCAGTGGTGGGGAACCTGTCCTGCTGCAGACACACTGTCCTCGAGCGGCAGGAAAGGGTCTCCCGCATTGGTCTGCTGCCTCCACAGCCCCTGGGCTGCTCTGTGCTGCCTTCCCAGTACCTGGGCTTGCTCTCCCGTGGGCTCCGGCTGCCTGGCTCTACCTGTGCCAGCAGGAGCTGCCTTTTCCCCAGGTCTCAGCCCTTGTTCTTCCATGCTGCAGCCCTACCCTGGGGTCTGCAGGCAGGGGGGGTGCAGGCAGGAGCCTGCCAGCACGGCCTTGGCCTTTCCCCTTCTGCTTCCTCTCTCTCCTGCAGCTATGAATCCTCTGCTGAAATCTTGCCACACACACCAAGACTTACCCACTTCCCCACCGTGTCCGGCTCGCCGGCCAGCCTTGCTGATTCCATGCAGCAGAAACTGTCCTGTCCCCGCCGACGCCGGCAGCAAAGCCCTAGTGCCATGTAGCAATCGCACGCGGTGCCCTTTCACTGTCTGTCACTCTGGCCAGGTAGGGGCTGGTCCCAGCTGTCCCCTTTCCCCAGGCAGAGGCAGTAGCTGTGGCCTCGCTGCTGCGGGACCGCTTCTCTCCCTGTCTTTGAGGGGAGACTGTAAAGGGGGAGAGGATTTGACATCTTTGCCCTCGTGCTTCCTCGCAGCGCTCACGGGTTTCTTTTGCCAGTGCCTTGGGGACAGTGCTTTGGAGGGTTTGCAGCCAGAGGAACGAGACCCTGGGGCAGGGGGGCGCTGTTGTGGGTCTTGTTGTGGCTCCCCCCATTAACCAGCCCTGCAGGCATCAGCGCTCAGCATGGCAGCGTGGTTCTATCCAGGATATCCCATGGCACTCTCAGGAGTGAGGACAGACCCTGACGGCTTGTCTGGGGGAATCCCCAGACCCTGGCTGCTTGCACCCCATTTCTGGGGGTGTCACAGCACTTGTCTCGCTGCCTGGGCTCTGCCCCATCATGTTTCCTACACTGGGGGGCTGATGGCTGGAGCCCACCCCTTCCTCAGCACAGCATGACTGGGGCAGACCCTGAGCCTACGGCCTCAGGCTGGGCTGCCCCCGCCTGGCACAGGTCTCTGTCCCCAGAGAAGGTCTGGTCCTACTCACTCCTCCCTCTTTTCCCTCTCGTCCCCAGCTACGAGGAGAGCTCTACCCCCAAGGATGTGCCGGGGGCCTCCAAAGAAGAGACAACAGAAGCTGCCAAGAAGGAGAAGTGACCTTGCCCGCGGGCTGTGCCCAGCACCGCTGGGCTGGGGCCCTTCCAGACCCTCCGCAAGTGACAGACGACGAAACAATTGTGCAAGAGCATCGTGTTGTGTGTGTCGGAGCAGCCACCCAGGTGGGGTATCGATGTACGCCGCATAGCCCCCCCCCCGCTGGCCCCTCGGGGCCGCGCTGCCACCCCCCTGCCTGTTTATCTCCTACGGGGATACAAGGCGGGTGGGGGGCAAACCACAGGCCGGTTTTTAAATTTTGTATTGTGCATTTGCTTTCTCTCATATTAAACCATGTCGAAGGAAGGAGTGCTGGTCTGGCAGTGCCGCGGCTGTGCCGGCAGCCCCTGCCTTGGCTGCTGCTCCAGCTTGTAGCCCCCGCTCAGCTGCCTGGCCAGCACCGGGATCGGCGTCCCGGCTCTCCAGCAGCCTTGTTCTCCCTGTGGGGCCCATGGCCGTTGTCTGGCTGTTTCCAAGTGACCGTCCCCTTCCCCCTCCCGCTCCTCCGGTGCTTGGCCTTCCCTCAGCCTGGGCCCCCACCTCTGCAACGACCAGATTTAGGGCCGTGGTCGCTGACCCCCGGCCTGTGGGTGGGTTGGAGCCGGGGTCCAGCCCCGGCGGAGGGTGGGTGAGTCAGGATCAGGGCACGGGCACCTGGCAGGACGGGGATGTGCTCTGCCTCGGCTGCTGTGGGGGTCAGAGAGCTGGGGCTGGGG